GATTTCATTTATATTCATTTTAATAAAAGGTAAGTTAATGTATTTCATTACATTTTCTCTTTCATTCAACCATTATTCCATATTTTGCTACCTTTCATAACTTTTTATTCCCATTCTTGAATTCCAAATGATGAATGTTTGGACTATGATAACAATAATTTTAAGATTTAATTTTGAGAACTTATTCACATTAATCTATGAAGACTATTTGAGCATAAGAAGCCAGTTACTAGCAGATGTGAAATACATATATCTTGAAGATATGCAGTTTGTTATAAAGATCCATGAGCTTATTTTTATTCAATGGATGATCTTTAAGGAAAGTATTCACATTTAAGAAAAAAATGGCCATCTTTCTTTAACCATTTGAAAAACCATTCATTGCTACTTCTTTGAGCCTATTATGATTTTTTTTTTAAAAATCTTTTACCAAGGATCATCCTCCACACTGGGAGGTATTTTTTAAAAAAAAAATATAAAAGATCGTAAAATGTCTCAAAAAGAGAAAGAAAAGCAAAATGAAGGAAAGAGAGAAAAGAAATGGATGCCACACATGATTTGAGATAAAGTAATAAGAGTTCTTTTGTGAGGAATGAGATAGAAAAGGAAAAAGTAGTGAAGTGATTCCGAGCTGCATCAAGTGAGGATCTTTTAGTTTTGAACCCTTTAAATACATGTTTTGAGCCTATTTTTATCTATTTCTTTCATGACCCCTCATCATGACCTACATTACAACCTTTAAAAGTTCATTTAGATCAAATATGAATGCTCAAATTGAATGATCATATGTTGGACTAAGGCATATTCATGATGAAACGACAGAATCATGCTTGGTTACTCTAAAGATTGATGTAAAAGAGATATCAATAATGAGTGAAAAAAAAATGAAAAATGAAAAGAAGAGAAAAAAAGACTCAAATTAAAAATTCGAAAGGGTGATTTAAGTAGAAAAATCTTTAAACTGAGAGTTGAACAAACAATTCACATGGATGAAAGATCAAAGACATATAAAGATCCCTCAAAGTTGTGGTAAAGTTTGATGAGCTCAAAATGATTTCGATAGTCAATGGAATGAGTTTTTAAAAAAAAATCATGAATTAATGTTTAGAATTGTCTGGATATTCATTGTTTGGATATACCATTCATCCCAATGACATATATCCAATTTGTTTATTTTCCTATTTGTTTTGCACCAGACTCATTTTTCATTGATTACTTTTCTCTCAAATCACCCTATGTTCCCTTATTGTTGTATCCCCAGAATAAATCGAGAAAATATATGAGTGCATTATATTTGTCATGATTTGAAATGATGATGAATGAATGACAATGTGCTTAAAAGATTCTTTCATTCATTTGAGAAGAAATCTAGGATGATAAGATGATTTGAAAAGACACATGAATGACCAAATGAGGATTATGATGATGGATTGACCAACAAAATGAAGAGGAGGCAAATTTTAAAAAAGTGGTATGTCCAAGTGATGAATATGTGAATGAATTGGTTAACATAACCTGTGAGTTATGATGAAAAAAAATGGAGCAATGGACAAAAGTGGTGTTGAAAAGCCCATGAACAATGATCAAGTGATGAAGGATAAAATTTGCTCTGAAATATTGAAAAGCCCATGAACGATGATCAAGTGATGAAAGATAAAATCTATACTGAAAAGCTTATGAGCAATGATCAAGTGATAGAAAAAAAAATTTATTCTGAGATGGTTAGTGCTAAGAAGCTCAAAATGATGGAGTCTTGAGAGCCATACTACCACAGTTATTTAAGATTTCATGACATTATTGACGTCCGGATTACATGCATCATATAAGCATCATTGTTTAAATAGTACATGCACATAATTTGATAAATTAAAACTTTGTTTGGACATGCATGGCATTATGAAAATCTAAGTTGTTGCATTTGCATCATTAAGAAGGCATTTGCATATTTGATCATGACATTTATTCATACAAAATTTTGAGTCACCTGAAAAGTAATTGTGAATATTTTTTATGAGAGTCTTTGAATTTCAAATGAAAATCTTTGAATTTCAAAGAAAAGTATTTGAGTTTTAAGTTTTAATTGAGAATATTTGATATATGAAACTTTGAGATTTATTGAATGAAAACTTTTGAGTTTGAATGAGAAGCTTTGAATTTTTGGATGTGAATCTCCAATATTCAAATGAGAGTCTTTAAATGTTGAATACAAGTCTGGCAGCCCGCAAATGCAAATCCTAAGATCTTACAAATTTGAATTTTTATGAAACTGAAATATTAATAATCAAATTTCAGTGAATTCTTACGGAGTTGAAAGGTTCTTGTGAATCTGAGCCTTTGAATGTTGAACTCAAATTGTGAATATTTGAGTTTCCATTACAAATTCCATCAGACATGATCTATGACTCGTTCGGTCATGATTGTCAAAGAGTAATTTATTTTTTCAAAGTTCTGTTACCTCTATTTAGAGGAACCATTTATTTTTCTAAAGTTCTGTTGCCTCTATTCAGATGAGCCATTTATTTTTTTAAAGTTTTGTTACCTTTGTTTAAATGAGCATTTTATTTTTCAAAAGTTATTGAGCCTCTGATTATAGAAGCTTTATTTAAAAAAAAAAGTATTAAGTTAAGTCTTGATTAGGTGTCTACGTCTTTGCATAATTCCTGTTTCACAAAAAATGTGTAAAAAAGGGTAACTGTAGACACCATAATTTGTCCGGGCTCAGGCTCATTAGGTCTGGTTCAATAAGAGTTGGGCCTAAGCCCATTGGGCTTAGCTCAAATCTGGTCCAAATGGGGCAAATTAACCTATTTTATTTGTATTTGTATTTGTATTTGTATTTTATATTTTTATATTTTTATTTTTTTCGATTAATTGTTCTAAATTTTTTTTTATTATTACATTTTTATATATATTTATTTTTATTCTAGAAAATCCACAAAAAAAAGAAATTTACCGTGAATGGTGGTTGGTAGGATTGTAGTGAAATTCAATTTGTTTTCTCCTAATCCTATTCAAAAAGGGAATTAGAGTCAATCAGCAACTATTTTGATTGAACCCTATAAATAACCCATGAATCATACACAGAAAGATACAGGAGAAATATAAAGAAAACAGAGGCAGAAAGAAAAGAGAGTGTTTGAAAAGTGTTAATAGCAATCCTAGAATTTTTAGGAATTTTTTTCAATTTTTTGGTTTTTTTTTTGGAAATTTTCTAGAAAATTTCATAATTTGATCAATTTTTCGGTGAATTTTTCGACCAACTTTGAATTTTTTGGCAAGATTTTCCAGTTTTTGATAGGTTTTTTCAAATTTTGATAGAACATTCAATCGAAATCTGAGTTTTTTAGAAAGGGGGAGAGAAAAACAATGGGGAAAGAGAGAGGGGAAAAATGATTCTGAAGGAAAAGTTGGGATTTGAAATTATATACCTGCTGAAAATGATGTCGTTTTAGAGTTTAAATCAACCTAGGATTCACGTGTTTCTGCTTGGACCAACCCGACCCGATCGCAACCTGCGTTTGACTCGCATGCCAGCTTTCCCCTAGAGCCGAGCCAAGCCGAGCTGTGCACTCTCAAGCCGTGTTTTTTAGCCGATTTCTATGCCTCAAGCCAAGTCAATCTCAACCGCAAGCCGAGCCGTTTTCATTTTTTTTGTATTTTTAATTTTATTTTTTAAAATTATTTTTTATTTATGTGTTTGTTTATTTTATGAGTATTTTTGCATGATTTAATTTAATAAAAATAAAAAATAAATAAATTTTGAGAATAAATATTAATTACCAAATGATGAAATTTATAGAAATATCAAATAGTAAATTTATATAAATTTTTAGGTAAAAAATTTTATCTAAATTTGGTCAAAATTATGGAATAATTTAGATAAAGTTTCAATAACAATAATTAATATTTATTTTTCAACCAAAAAAATAAAAAAATGAAAAATATAAAAAAATATAAAATGGGAATTAAATACAAATTACCCAATGATAAGATTCTTAGAAATTTCAAATGGTAAATTTCTAAGAAATCTCTAGGTGAGAAATTCTATCTAAATTTATCTCAAATGGTGGAATAACTTAGATGAAATTTCAATACAAATAATTGTATTCTTTTTCAAATAATAAAATTTGGTTGAAAATATGTGATAATTATCCAATTATGAGATTCTTAAGAATTTCAAATGGTAAATTCCTAAGAAATCTTTAGGTGAAAAATTTTCTCTAAATTTGACTGAAATGGTGAAATAATTTAGATGAAATTTTAATAAAAATAATTGTCATATTATTTTATTTCCAAGAAAAAAATTAAAAAAATTTTAAATAGGCCCAAATGGTAAACAAATTTAAAAAATTAAAACAAGAAAATATTTTTAATTTGACCTAAATGGTTGAATAATTAGATATATTTTTAACAGAAAAAAATAAAACTAACAAAAACTTTTCCAATGATGGAGTCTCTTCAAAGAAATAAACGGAATTTTTAAATACTCTTGAGGTAAGAAAATATTTTTAAGAGTTTTATCAGATTGATGGAAGAATCTTATAAATTATTTTTAATATTTAACATAAAAATTTAAAATCATTAGACTCAAAATCCTATGATAAATTTAAAATAATATGATACTATCCTTTGGATGGGCATGTGAGAGTGCTATAACCTTCCTAACATGTAACCGACTCTCGAATTCTGTTTTGGTTAGTAAACCCGAATCTATTCTTTTAAGTACTTTTAGTCAAGTTTAGGAGTTCTTTAAAAGAATAGATTCCTAGGTAACCAATTATACTTAAATAAAAAATATTGATGACGACTCTATTCATTTATTAAGTCTAATTATAAATTTACGGATCTATATGTTATGATAATCTTGATCCGCTCGTTTAATTTGTTCACATGCACGACACGAGGGATTATTTCAAGCCATTGACTTATGTTTTGTTTCCTATCTAATTGTTGAATGGTTCTTTCTTGACAGATGATTGGATCATATGTAGGAAAACAAATTGAAACGTACATCTTCATATCATTGCAAAGTCAAAGTGCAGGACATAAATCTTGTAAAGAAAGAAACACATGAATAGCTGGAAAGCAAAAGAATAGGTAACAATCTTTGTTCTTCGCTTTCTGGTACGTCGGAAATTAATTAAGCTCCACTCTATCTATCTATGGTTTATGAAGAACTCTTCCAGCAAGTAAAGCAGCCTCCATGACTACAGAGATTACATCAATGACCTCTTCAACTTGGCACTTGTTTCCCTTGAAACTTGTTCCACCAAATTTCTGGAAATTAGTCATGCAGTTTATCAAGTTTTGGCTGCATTCTTGACTTAGATAGTCATCTGCACCACGCAAGTTGCAAAAATCTATGTCCATAAAACATGGAAATTAAATTATCCTATACATGCATTTGTGGTTGAGTTATCATTTTTAGGTGAATTAAAAAAAATAATTAGGTTTATTTTGCTATTCTAGCCAGATTCTTATAATTAAAGATGGGGAAAAAAAAAACACTAACTGTTCTTAGCTTGAACGCAAGCGTCGTGCTTCATACAGCAAGCATCAAGTCCATCACAAGGTTTCTCCCCAGGGCATCCAGTATATAATAGCCCGCAATACTTCCCATATCTCAAAAATGGAGGCACTGTTTGTTTCAACCATCAAAATATTCTCAGCTTTAACAAATTGAATCCTTTTAATTACAGAAAAGAATCTCAACTGTTAAAAACTCTAATCTCTAATTCCCAAGTTTCAGACTTAAATAAAGATCAGAGGGGATGGATGCAGTTAGAATGGTGCAAGAACTACCTCCCATTTTATTAGTTAACAAAAGTAACGTCGTTATATATAACCAAAAAAAAGAACACCACCAAATAAAGAAAAGAGGGTACCTGAACAGAACTCTGACTCACATTTTCGACTGCATTCTTTACTCTGCAAATAATGCCGAAAATAATGGTTAAAACTGTATTGTATGTGTTTATATCTCAAAACAAAAGAATGGAAAAAGGAAAAGAGAAAGAATTGCCGAAGAGCTGACCACAGTGACGGCAGAATCCGCTGCTTGGACACCAATATTAAGGGCTTTGACAGAAACAGAGGAGAAACTTAAGGCAATGAAGCAAACGGTGAAAAAGAGGGCTAAATTCAGAAACTGATGCGTGATCATTGTTGGGACTCTGGGAAGCAAAACAATGGAAAAAGCACTGAAATCTGAAGCTTGGTTTTGCTTAAAAGGCTCTGATTTATAGAGAAAGAGGCAGAGTTGAAGTCTGAATCAAAAGATTACAAGTATAAAATTAAAGAACAAAAAAAAGAACAGATGGGAAGACAACATAAGAGGATGAGAGAGAGAGAGAGAGAGAGTTGGAGGGGTTGTCTTGTAATGGCTCGTGATCCGTTTTTGGAGTGTTGCTTTAACTTACTCTGAGATCGTCGTCTGGTCTGTCGTTAATTTAGAATTAAGAAAATCAACCAAACAAATAATATATCGGGGGTAGTTGTTACTGGGTCCGTCCCCTAGAAAAAGCCCTTTCACCCAACTGATTTCCTTTAATTGGGAAATTGGACCCTGGAAAGTTGGACTCCTAATTGGACATCTCTAATTTTCTATAACTTACTATTCATATACATAGTTTTTAGGCCTTTTTATTTTGCTGTCATTTGCATAATCAGCTGCTGCCACATGGCTTTCCTAAAGTGTATATATATATATATATATATATATATATATTGTAATATTGTGTTTTCTTAAAATTTTAGTTTTAAAACTTGGTGTTTGGAAGCTATTTAAATATCATTTTATACGGAATTTTGTATTTTTTTTAAAGAACTTTTTTAAATAATTTTGCAATTAGTTAAATTAGTTTATTGGTAAATAATTGATGAAGGTTGAGTGAGTTGTTAAAATAAATTAAATAGCATGTGAAAAAATTTTGAAATCATTTGTTACTGCATGTAAGTGTCTTATTAAGTTTATGTTTTATATTATGTTTTACAGATATTAGATTTATGCTTTGCTATTCTCTACGTACAATTTGTAGAAATCAATCTTTAAGAGAATCAATCAAATACTATGAATAGATTTGGATTTTGGTAATGGGTTCTTTTAAACCCTATGTAACGTAATAATTGGGCTTTCTTTCGTGAGCTTAAATCTGAGTCTTGATCTTTCTATTATATTTAATTTAATTTGAAATACAAAAGTTTTATTATTTAGTTTAACCTGAAAATATTGGTTTATTTAGGGTCAATTTGAATATGCAGTGTGATTAATTTTGATAAGATTAAAAATAATGATGGAGGTAAGATTTATTATTATAGTGACAATATTAAAATTAATTATAAAATATGTATTTAGATACAAAAATAGTGATGACGTGAAATAAAATATATTGAGAAAAAAATCATTAAAGGCATTATATTAAAACTTATAAATAGTATATATTTGATATTTGTGAAATTAATAAATAATTAAAATTAGTTTATATTGAATAATTTTTTTGTAAATAAATTAAAAATTAGTAAAATTAATTTTAAATATTAAAATTATAAAATTTTTTCAAAATATTTAATATTTGAAAATTTATGAATGTTATTTAGATAAATTAATATTAAACATAAATCTAAAACATATAACAAATTAAACAACTTTATATTTAAAAACTAAAAACAAAAAGAATATGTTGAAATGTTTTGGGAAAAAAAAAACACTAGGGGGCAATATGGTCTATAAATTTCAACTACACTGTTCTTTTGTTCACTGTACCTTGGATGCCGCGGTCTCCGACTGAAGAAATATCGAGATTAATCGCATTGAAATATACCATCCAAATAACATCACGGCAGTTGGGGGGCAAAAAGGTGCCCATTTTCACCGAATCGCAACTTTAGTGGCATCCAAACCCAACCTTAGTCTGATTAGATGATGCAAGTGGTGTTTTTCCTGATAAGAAAGTGTGTTTGACTCATTATATTTGGTTATGGTGATTTTTTTTATACCATTCTTTTGTTCTTAGTAGCTTTTCTTTTTTTACTTAACAAAAAAATAAAATATGTTCTCATTTCGGACTGAATCTAAACTTAAAAATTTATCTTCCACGATGATCTCATCATCAACGATCTTAGTGTTGTTTGTCGTTATGATGTGAGTCTCTCTCTCTCTGTTCTATTTAGTATATTTTCATTTTTCATATTTGCCAATTTTTGATAAAAAAGTATTAATGTCGCATTTTGTTGGTTGGTTAGCGTATTTTCTTGAAAATATGTATAAATATATAAAAGTCAAAGCTTTAAATAAAAATGAAAAAAAATTATATGTTGATGGCTTAAAATGTTGACATGTAGATAGTTTTAAAGATTGTCACATGACATCTAATAAATGTATTTTATTTTATTTTATATATTTTTAATTTAAAAATAATTTAAAATATTAAATTGATTATATTAATATTTTTATTATTAACTTTAAATCACTTTCAATTCAATTCATATTAAAAGTATTAAAATTTTAAAAAAATTTTAATTTGACAAATTAAATCAATCAATATAAAATTAATAAATTAATAAACACTACAATTACAATTATAAAATAATTTATTCTCTAATCAATTATTTGATACATTTATATTTGATTAAATATAGCATCCAGTAATTGATGTATTTAATATATAAATATATAAAGCTAATATAATTTAAAAATAAAATTTATTATATTAATGTTTTTATTATTGATTTTAAATCACTCTCAATTCAATTCATATTAAAAGTATTAAAATTTTAAAAATTCTTATTTTGACAAATTAAATCAATCAATATATAATTAATAAATTAATAAATACTACAATTACAATTATAAAATAATTGATTATCTAATTAATTATTTGATATATTTATATTTGATTAAATATAGTATCCATTGGTGTATTTCATGTGTAAATATATAATGCAAATATATCAAATTAATTTTTCATAATTAAATTAATGGAATAAAATATTTTATTAATTAATATTTGATTGATACATTTATATTTCATTAACTATGATTTCATTTGATAAAATATTAATGCACGTTGATTTTATTTATTTTCATTTTTAACATTTTATAATTTTATTATTTAATAGTAATGCACATTGATTTAATTAAAATTTATTTTATTTTATTACAATTATTAAATACAATAAATTTAATTTGTTTTATTGTTATAAATTAAAATATTTCTAAATGTTAATGGGAAAATAAAATATTTCAATATCAATCAACTTGTTATTGTTAGACTGTTATTCACTCATAAATTTTATTATTTCAATATTAATTTTCATACTTTAAAGTTATCTTATTAATTAACTATATTTATGTTTTTACTATTGATTTTAAATCACTTTCAATTCAATCCATATTAAAAGTATTAAAATTTTAAAATTTTCTTAATTTGGCAAATTAAATCAATCAATATATAATTAATAATTTAATAAATATAGCAATTACAATTATAAAATAATTGATTCTCCAATTAATTATTTGATACATTTATATTTGTTTAAATATAGTATCCATTTAAGTAATTGATGTATTTTCATGTGTAAATATAGAAAACAAATATATCAAATTAATTCTCCATATTTAAATTAATGAAATAAAATATTTTATTAATTTATATTTGATTGATAGATTTATATTTCATTAAATATGATTTCATTTTATTTTATTTGTTAAAATATTAATATATGTTTAATTTCATTTAATAAAATATTAATGCACATGAATTTTATTTGATTTCATTTGTAATGTTTTATAATATTAAAATCTAGATATTAATGTATGTTGATTAAATTAAAATTTAATTTGTTTTATTGTCATTATTAAATACAATAAATTTAATTAGTTTTATTATTATAAATTAAAAAATTTGTAAATATTAATGGTATAATAAAATATTTTAATATCAATCAACTTACTATTATTAGACCATTATTCACTCAAAATTGTTATTATTTCAATATTAACTTTCATAATTTAAAATTATCTTATTAATTAACCTACAACACACATTTTGTATAAGTAATTTTAGGTTAAACATAATGCATCTTTAACCACTTTTTATTAATTTTATATATTTTGATCACTACTAAACTCTATTTCAATTTTTTCTTTAATTTTCACTTTTATCGTTTATTGGTTTGTGCAATTCAAAGGTTATTCTCTTTTTATACTTATATTTTATATTTCTTTAACTATGATATTAGTTTTTTTTTAATATTTTTTTGTTGACGATTGATTTAAAGATGATTGATTTAAAGATGATTGGGTATATACAAGGAAAATCTTTCACCAGTGAGTCACCATCATAAAAGTTGATACCACTTTTGGTTTATACTATATGTCATGTTGGTGTAATAAGAAACTATATGAAGTTGATGAAAAATTTCTATGTTATTCTTGCAATGTTGATGTCTCTAATCCAATTCAAAGGTAATTAATATGTGTACTTTTTATATTTGATAAATAAGAAAATTATTATTCTATGATGATAATAAAAGTATTTTAAATTATTTTATTTTATTTATAATTATATATTTTTGCATTTTTTATAGGTACAAATTGAATATTGAGATATATGATAATTCTTGAAGGGCGATGTTTGTACTGTTCAATACAGAAGTAAAGGATTTAATTAATAGAGTTTTTGATGATCTTTATAAAATATCTGTTAAGTTATTTAGTTAAAAATTATTTTAATATTATTTAATATTTAAATTATTGAATAATATCTTTATACTTATGATTTATGAAAATGGAGATTATAAAATTCAAAAGATATTTGAAGATCTTACAGGTAAAATTTGTATATTCGAGACATAAACAACCAAGTATAATCTTAAGATAAGTAGTATTAAACTTACGGTGAATAAGATATATGATTTTGATCTTAAGTTTGAATGTCAAATATTATTGGAAGATATATGTATAAGCTTATTGCAATGATTATTTTTGTTATAAAGTTATATAGTCTAAATTATAACTCAATTATTGTCAAATTACATATTACTGTTTTATCTATCTCTTCACCTCTATTTGTGAAATTTATTAACTCATCAAGTAAAATGACACTTACATCAAAAGATAATAAGAAATATTGGAGAATTAATTGTTGCATCTTCGCTTCAATAATAATTTATGAAATAATCTCCTATAAAAAAAAGTTTGTATGCAAGATTTATTTTATGGATGAAATTTTTAATTTCTTGAAATCGAAAATATTATTGTTTTTTGTTTAGAGATAATTTGAATTTAATAAATTATAGTTTGAGTTTTTTTTTTAGAATTGATGATAATTGCATATGTATATCCAATATGTAATTAATTTATTTTATTATATTAAAATATATAAATTTAAATAAAAATGATTATATAAGTTGTGAGTTATTCATAAACTTCATAATTTATATTATCATTTAAAAAATTTATATTTATATAAAATTTATTGATATATGAATATATTTTCATGCATTGCATAGATTTAAAACTCATTAAGCTGTAAATGCCACGCCCACTGAGGCATCACAGTGCCTGTTGCATCAAATTCAGTCTC